TCTCGATTGCCACACCGCTCACATCGCCTGCAAGTTCGCTGAACTTAAGGAGAAGGTAGCTTTTTCTTTTTTTAATCATTAATAATAATGGTTAATCAGGTTGACCGTCGTTCCGGAAAGAAGGTTGAGGATAACCCAAAATTCCTCAAGTCTGGAGATGCTGGTATTGTCGAGCTTCACCCAACCAAGCCACTTTGCGTTGAATCTTTCACCGACTACGCCCCACTCGGACGTTTCGCTGTTCGTGATATGAGACAAACTGTTGCTGTCGGAGTCATCAAGTCTGTTGACAAATCTGCTGGAGGATCTGGAAAGGTCACCAAGTCAGCCCAAAAGGCTGGAGGAGCTGCTGGAAAGAAGAAGTAAATGCGATTGAATTGGATTGTTATTTTTTTAATCGTACCCTAAGGGTATTTATTTGTTGTACTGTTTATAAACATTCGTACACTTACTTGCTAAAGTGCGTTTTGTTCGGAATAAGTATCCATGCTTGGCTCATGATCTGCTGAAAGAAATTGCGGGTGTCCAAAAATGACTCCGTGTCGGGTCTCAGCACTGGAGAGTATAAACTAGTTATGGGGATGACCATACAATTGTGGGCACATCGCAACCTATATGGAAGTATTCGCTTCATGACGGCCGTATGTGGTCAGATAATCCGCTCAGTATTCGGCTTGTATCGTTTGGCTGAATAGTAAATTTTCTCTATCTTTCAAGCGGTAATGCGTCCATTTTTCCCTTTTTACATATATGATACGTTTGAGTGAGAAATGGGTGAACACATTCGTCCAGAATTCTGTAATTTTGGGTCTTTTCAAAAGTATTGAATGACATGTTCAGTGAACATAGGTCGTGAATCATTCTAGCTTTGAGAGTATTTCATTCTAGAAGATAAAATAGTGTTTTCGTAAATTAAAAAGTAGTTTCTAGGTTTGTAATGATTTCTCGCTTCTCAGAAGTTCATTTCTTCAGACTAGATATTCAAAGTAAACGCGCTTTAGCCGGCCAGCCAGCGTACTCTGCCTTAGGTAACCGGTCTCTAATTATCTACGTCACAACTCAATATGTCATTTCTGTATGCAAATTACTCGTCCCGTGATCTACCTATTACTTGCATTCAAGTTTTTCTTTCTAAATTTGCTCATCCTTTGTGTTTGTAATGATCGGACCGCTCCTCCTATTCGTAGTGAAGCTAAACATGAAACCTCAAAACAAATACCCACGTGGTCCACGTTCTCGCTTTCTTAGCACCTTTATAGTATTTTTTCAAACTCTACTCAAGATCCAGAGAAGAATTGTTTTTTGTAGTCCGTTATTGATTTTTCAAGGTATGATTAAACATAGTTCATTCTGTGTTGAGTGACCACAGTTTATTCAATCATTTCTATGGAATGAACAATATAACTTTCCACAACTACAGTGCCTATTCGATTCAGTTGGCAGCTCTCTCCACAACTTTCATTCTCAGCGATATATTCTTGATAATTGCAATGACTTGTTTATCACGTAAATCTCATATTGAATCTAGCTCAATTGCTTTGTTTAATCGCTTATATGTACATAAATGGCGTGCATGCTGTCGTACATACAAAAGGATTCCACGAGGATTATAGGAAGAAAAAGGTTGAACAATATTGAAGGCAACTGGAATCTTCAAAGGAGAAGGTTGTTGCAGTCCATCGGTTCTCAGTTCCAACGTTCACGCATAGAATACGATTGTTTATAGCCTCTCATAACCTTACCATGAATTTTTTTTGTATATGCTACTTTTATATAACTGCCTTCATTCAATTGTGAAAATTTCAGATGTGCCGTTTGTTTTAAATCAAATTTCAATAAGTTATGTCATCGACGAGGAAAAGATTCGAGTTTGCAAGTTTGCAACTCGAGTTTTGGAGTAACGAAGAACAGAGATATATCCAACCTGTGGATCTTAGAAGCCCTACGTCAACGCGTGGAATAAAAAAGGAAATTCCAACAATCAAACTATCAGGGAATAATCGATGTTCGCAACAATCTATATCCGAGCTCTCTATACAAAAACGCCAACAAACCTTTTCTTCCCAAAGGCCAAGCACTTTAGTGAACTCAATTACTCCAATGCTGCGAAAACAAACTGTGTTTCCTGTGAATGATAAGAAGGCAATTAGCAACTCATACAGACGGGAGAAAAGGTAAATTTCTTTTCTTCTTTTACAAATGTTTCTAAAGAAAGTAATTTTGGATTGTTTGCATATATTTCGATCATTCAGTTTGATGTCTCTGAGATGTCGAAATTTATAACCTTTTATGGACAAAATGAAATAAACCATGAGATAATCAAATGATTCGTCAATATGCTTTTTGGAGAATTGTCTTTGCAGTCATTTGCGTCAAAAAATCTCAAAAAAGTCATTCGATTGCATCTCTTTGAATAATTCTTTTTGTAATTCAAAGTCATTTATCTTTATCTTTTTTCTTTCAACACTCATCAGCTTCTCATAGCTGTCCATCTATTCCAACCTTTCTCTCCCTTCCACTCTGTAAGAGCCAGCTGGTCTTTTTTTGATTTCACTTCAACGACACCAACGAAATTCCTTCTTTTAGTCTATTTCCATAGACGAAATATTATTATTTTACATAAATAACCTTTTTTTATATTACTTACTCCCAATGGGAGCGAAATGCTGTGCGCCACGAGTCGATCGGTGAGTTGAAAAAATGATTACGACTTTACCGTAAAACCTTTAATTTATATTTTCGTGCTAAGTGAATTAATAGAAATAAACATGAATAAGCGAACAGAAAAATGAAAAAAGGCCTAAAAAAATGAGAAACTTTTTTTGAAAATAAGGGGTGAAGATAGTTAACAGCTGTTCCAAGCAGTGCTTTTACCAATCTTGAGACGTTTTTATTCCAACAAAATTGATTACATAGAAGACATGTTGAAATGAATGATTTTCAGATTAGAGCATCGTCATGAACGATATGTCCGGTCAAGATGTGTTTCGGAAGTGAACAGTAGAGGTGAAGAAATAAACAGAGGAATTCCTACATTTTCAAAATCTGTATATGACGATCGGACACTGGGCGAACGTAAATCAATAGAGTGTGAAGCCAATTACGATAGGAGTTCTTCTTCGGGAACTTCAATCAACAGGTTTGGTTATTAGAATGCTTGAGCACAAAAACGATTCAAAATCTTATAAATGACACCCAACATACAAGAAGTTTTCAAAAATTGTTTAACCGCCAAAAATAGTATTGAATGTCCTTTATTATATTCATTGCATAGTGTAGTTGCAGAGTGGTTGTGTTTAATCACAGTTTGTATTGATGTTTGTTGTATTTTTATTTTTCAGAAGAGAAGCCAAAACAGTTGACTTGAATGAAAGTTGTCGAAGTCGGAGTCAGCCGTCATTCCATTCAAACAGTAGCTCCATGTAACTTCTTCTTCCAAGCTTACGTTCATAATTAATCATTTTTAAGAACAACACGTGAACTCAGTAGTGCAGAGAGAACGCTTCTAGAGCAGTATCGAATAACTGAGGAACAACGTCGGACAACTATAATTCGCAAAGAACATAAATTCCCGAAAGAATTAGCTGACGATGAGATAATATCATCGAATCAACAAATACATTCGTTTGATGTGGCCGACTATCATGTGTCTTTACTCATAGGTATGTTTATTTATGTTATTCTTATTGGGAACAACAGTAAGCTATGGAGAGGGAGGTATCTGGATAGGGTATCGTGTATGTATAGTATGGGTGTGTATGTTGCTTATGTAAGAGATTTTTGGAGAATATTTTCTGGAATACATAAAGCTTTGTCCAAATATATATTCGGAATAGTTGAAGAAACTATCGTTATCACGAATCAAATAGAATGCCAGCTTGTGTGTTTAATGATTCTTCCTCGATTCTTCCTCATGCGCAAAGTGTTGCAATGCTCAAAAAAGGAGAAATACTTTTTGAACGGTTCAGCACCACTGGTATTATCTGCTTCATTCATGCTCATAAAGTATTTTTGAAGTGTATTACTGAATTTTTATGAATTATAAATGTTTTATAATTAGATAATAGATTTGAATACTGTCAAGTGATGTCTTAGCATCAAGTGTGAAGCGGATACACGAAGACAAATAGACATCGGACAGATAGAAAAGATTTTTCCTTGCTTAAGCTTCAAAATACATTATTTCAACCTTTGAAAAGTTTTGTTCATAACTCTTGTGTTTCGCGCATTTAGGACAAAGTTACAACTTTCTCCTCTTTACCTTTCTCCTAATTTTTTTTTGTTGATCAACCCGACTGCTAAAACAAACTGCCTGAGCTTATTTTGGTCAATTTCTTTGTCTTTACTTTGTCATCTTCCTATAATTGACAGTTGAGCTAGACGCTCCATACCCATTTCGATTTCCTCACTCACTTCGGGCAGTCATTTTCTTTTTGGAAATTTTTGTTTTACATTTGGTTTTTGATCATTTTTCTTTTATAACATTTCTCATATTATTCATTGAACTATTAGACAGATCTCTTAAGTGTGTATGAGCAACCTTTAACAAATTTATTGATTTTTATACCGAGAATGGAGTGATAGAGTTACTGAAAGTAGTGCCCTTTCTATTTTGCAAGAAAAATGTTTTCCGTTTTATGATGAAACCTTCAGTAATATCAATTTTCTTTAGGAATTTGATAAGAATTAAGCTGATTTTCTTATTAAAATATTATATTTACAAATTTGCTGCGAGTTATGTGCGAGAGATGAGTTGTTTCTCAGTAACATTGAGGTCAATGATAGTTGTATGAGATTGGTGAAGTTAAAGATTCAATGGACACTCTGTTTTGGTCGAATCAAAGAAAGGTTGACAGTGAAAGTTGTCAGCCAATTGTGTGCTCTATTGACAACTTTCGGCTGATAAGAAATAAATTATACTGGGCCACTTCGTTTTCGATTTGGTGACTGTCTCCTCATTATTGAAATGAGCAACGATTTCATTTTTCGAACATCGTCTATACGTCGGAGCTATACTTCGTTTACAACTATTCGCAAGACTGTAGCAGTACCAAAAAACTCTGGCAGTGACTCCGCTTCTTTGAATCAATCATTGAATAATGACTATTCATTAACTTCCCCTAGCGTCATCAATGATATTGATGAAGCTGCTGAACGTCAATTATTGACATGCAGTACCTCGTCTTCATTTGTCCTTGATGAGACTATGAAGTTTACTCAAAGAAATTATCTTGATCCAAGCAGTCAATCTAATTATTCGCAACTATCATCAGCATCAATCAACGAAAGCCATGACAACACACGTAAATTATCGAGTTCTCGTTCCTATCATGATGAATCGCATGGAAATTCAAATTGGTTAGCAT